CTACCACCGCATCTCCAAGAGAGTTGTCTCGCATCCACCAGGTTAGCGCAGTACATACCGTCAACAGAGAAGTTTGCAGCGCTCTAACCATCGGCGAGCTGGTCTATTGATTCTTCTTACGACCTTCAATGTATTTCCCAGACTGATACACGTACCGCACGGGCTTGCGTAGTTTCTTCATTCGACAGTCAAGCTTGTCCTTAGAACGATCGAAAGAAGTTTCGTTTTGATCACATCTTCAGTGTTTTTGAGCGTGTTCCCTGTTTGTGGTTCGTTGCTTTTTAGTGGTAAAGTCTCTACATCAGCACAGTAGCCATGCAGTAAAAAACACAAAACACACATTAGGCACAAGTCCGAAGCTCACAACATAGAAGGCCAAGTTCATTGGATTCGGTCTACAGTGCACATCGCGACAGCACGGGTACGGTTAGCGGGGGGTGTTTACGTCCTGGGGACGTTCACCGTACAAACCTTCCAGCATGCTCAGACCCCTTCAAATCGCCAGTCCGTCGCAACGTTCGTACTTCAAGTAGCTCAACTCGCAACCTCTTAACGCATGTAAAAAAATACAAGAAAAGAAAATAGACCTTGCGTAGTAGTCGGCGTCTTGAGTCCGTCAGCGTCAGTAGCTTAGAAGAGCTCGTTCTTCTCGAACTTGTCCACGGGAAAATAGGTCACCTTGACGATGTTCCCGCCAAACTTGCGTCCGTTCAAGGCCTAAATGTTCCAATCGAGAGATAACAGCGTGAGTGGAGATACTAAGACACACTAAGTAAATCATCAACGCACCTTCAAGGCCGACACCGCGTCTTCTTCCTTTCCGAAACGGACATAGATGCAGCCTAGACCAGGGACCTCTTCTCCATCCTATCAGTTAGCAGCCAGAATATATCCGTTAGTGACTGCAAGTTTCCAACTACACGGCACCATTGGACACACCTTCGGACGCGGAATTTCCATGCCAGTGACGCCCCCAAAGCGCTTGCACTCTTCCTCTACATCTTCAGCAAGATCAGCATATTCCTCGTCATCTCTTAGCTCATCAATTGAAACCATATTCGCCTGCGCAATAACACAACCATCGTCAGCATCACATGTAACACAAACCCTATCTCAATCACAGGTCTCACCATTTTCAAAACGGCACTGGGTTGGTCCTCCGGATTAGCAGCCGCCGCACTTGGAAGAGCAGCGGCACTGCTAGCAGGCTGGCGTTGCACCGACAGCAGAATTCCACCGATACTTAGCCCATTCAATCCTTCCACAGCTTGCGCAGCGACGTCGCTGTCCTCGTACTCGAACAAAGCACTGCCCAGAGATGCACCTGTAGCCGAGTCCTTGACCAGCGTGAAGCTTTTGAGCTTTCCAAACGGCTCCACCAGCTCTTTCACTTGCTCCTCCGCCAGCACAACAGGAATGTTCGACATGATCAGTCGATTACCCGAACTAACCGCCTCGGAACCCGCAGGTTGGGCCGCTGCAATGGCAGACAACGTAGCTTCCGCCAGTGTGGTCTCCGTAGTAGTCGTCTCAGTGCTTGATACAGTATGCTGAGCGAACCAGGCCGGGTTCGGAGTGCAGCCCAGGTTGGTAAGAGCCGTCTGCGTACGTGCCGAGACTTGAGGCATGGGCTGAGGGGGTCCCATGAAGCTACGCGGTCGGCCAAATTTCAGAGGTTGGCCCAGAAGCGACAGCTGATTCAGCAGCAACGCCAAGTTGCATTCCTCGACAGAACGCATCTCGCAGAAGGCAAAGTGGCCGTCTGTGGAGGTCCACGTGTTGATGATCGGGTTGCCGGGCTGAGTCGTGAGTCCGACCTGCTGAATGATGGTACTCAGGAACTCCTGGAGCTGCGGACCAGTCACATTTGGAGGCAAATTGCCCACGTACAGCTCACGTGCCGGTTTCTGCGCCACTGCGGCGGCCATCGTCACATTTGAAGCCTGCATCTTGGCGATGATGTCCTGCAGACTCATCGTCGGATACTGAGCCATCAACTGCGTAATTGTCGGGTTCACGCCTGCAGCTGGGGCAGCCGGAGCTGCGGTAGACGCAGCAGGAGCGGCGGTCTCAGTGGCAGAAGGCTGCGGTGCCGCCGGTTCCTTAGCTTCCCGGCGCGGCCGGTCGCGTGAGCTGGAGCGGTCACGACGGCGTCGGCGGCTGTAGCTGGGACTGCGGCTGCGACTGTAGCTCCGTCTACGACGACGACGGTCCCGATCACGGTCACGTCCACGTGGCCGGCGTGGAGAGCGTGAACGGGAACCGCCGCGGCGTACACGACGACTACGGGACGGAGAACGCGAGCGCGAGTAGCTGCGTCGGTGACGCCTGCGTCTGGACGAACGCGACGGCGACTGTGGGGACGGTGACCTGGACCGGCGACTGCTCTTTCTGGACCTGTGGCGGTCCTCGCTCTTCTCGTTTTTCTCCGGTTTCTCCTGTTTTTCTCCATTCTCCTTCTCTTCCATCTTAGTCGTGTCGGCTTCCTCTTCATTTTCCGTCTCCATCTCCTCGTTATCCTTCCTCTCCTTGTCTGACAACTTCTTCTTGGTTGCAGACGTGGACCTGCGCGACCGTTTTGAGTCCCGCGTGCGCGATGGCGAGCGTGATGAGTGGCGCTTTCTCGAGGATGACGAGTGGCGGCGACGTCGTCGACCTGTGGACCGCGAGCGAGAGCGCGAAGCAGGCGAGCGGGACCTGGACATCGACCGGCGTCTGCTACCCGACGACTTCCTGCGCGAGCTGCGGTGTTCCCGGCCGCGTCTACGAGGAGAGCGCGAGCGACGCGACGATCTGGAAGCACGGCGAGCATCGTCGGACCGTGGGGAGCCTTTGTCCATTCGCTCTTTGGTATTTTCTTGATCCTTGGAGGAGTCAGCGTCTACCGTGCTGTCGCTCTCTGTACGACGCTTCTTCCATCCAGACTCACGAAGCTTATTGCGAATAGCTTCTTCATTGTTCTCTCCTCGTGTCGGGCTCGGGGACGCTCTGTGGCGCCCGTAGCGACGGCCGGCATCGGCCTCTTCGTCACGTCTACCCATGCTTGATCACAGGGTTCCTCAACGAATGAAAAACTCTGGGGTGGTTACAACAAATTAGGGTCTGACACGTCAATTTCGAGCAGCCATGTATGTGAGCCACATCAAACTGAGATGGCTACACTTTCGATCTTGAAGCGCCGCGAAGCTTGCCAGGATGTACGTCGCCAAGCCCAAGCAGACGCAGCGCGCCAAAGCGCAGGAGATCGCGCGCATCAAGACCAAGAAAGGTCCGACGGTGGAGGAATGTGTAGCCAAGAGAGACTTCACAGGCGCCTCGGCCATCCTCGAGTTCAACCTCAAGAGCGACGACGCATCGAGTGTGACGGGCCCTGCCAAGGCAGAGGAGAAGCGTAAGACGCTTCTCTGGCTAGCGTACACGTCCTTCCATCTAGGCAACTACCAGCGTGCACTGGACGCCTACGAACAACTGCGAGACGTGGACGATACGCCCGAGATCTTCCTCTATCGAGGTTGCTGCCTTTTCTACCTGCAAATGTACAAGGAGGCAACTAAAGAGGCGGAAAAGGGACCCACTGGGCCACTACAGAACCGCCTACTCTTTCATTGTGCTCATAAATTAGGCGACGAAGACAAATTACTAGTGTATCACCAGCAGCTTACAGACTCGAAGGAGGATCAGCTGTCACTAGCAGCGATCCACTACTTCCGGAACCATTTCCAGGAAGCCACAGACATCTATAAGCGTCTTCTGCTCGAGAACAGAGACGATATCGCTCTCAATGTGTATGTGGCCATGTGCTACTACAAACTCGACTACTACGACGTATCGCTCGAGATCATGCAAGCGTATCTCCAGGCTTTTCCCGACAGTGTCGTGGCTGTGAACGTCAAGGCGTGCAACCAATTCAAGCTCTACAACGGAGCCGCAGCCAAAGACGAGGTCAAGACACTGACCGACCGTGGCTACAATATTGATCAAAATGATCTTGTGAGTCATAATATGGTGGTGTTTGAGGACGGACAGCACGCGTTGAGAGTTCTACCTCAGTTTGTGGACGCTCTACCAGAAGCTCGACTCAATCTGGTAGTGTACTACCTCAAACACGCCAAGCTACAGGAAGCGTACGACCTTATCAAAGACGTGGAGCCATCTACACCCCAAGAATACATACTCAAAGGTGTCGTGCACGCAACACTGGGCCAGTCGACGTCGTCTCGACAGCATATCAAGACAGCACAGCAGTATTTCCAGCTCGTGGGGTCCTCCCCCACTGAGTGTGATACGATTCCCGGACGTCAGTGTATGGCTTCGTGTTTCTACTTGCTGAAGCAGTTCGAGGACGTCAACATCTACCTCAACTCCATCAAGCAGTATCTGTACAACGAAGACGACTTCAACTGGAACTTCGGCATCGCTCTTTGCAACACTGGGTCGCACCAGGAAGCGCTTGAAACGCTACTACGAGTGCAGCAAGAGGAGTATCGACACGATTACTGCTACGTCAGCTGGTTAACGAGATGTTACATCCTGAATCGGAACCCGTCGGCAGCCTGGGATTTGTATCTGAAGCTCGACAACTCGGACGATTCGTTCAACCTGCTGCAACTCATCGCCCACGACTGCTACAAAATGGGCGAGTTCCTCTACGCTGCCAAAGCCTTTGACATTCTTGAAAGACTAGACCCCGATCCGGAGTACTGGGAAGGCAAGCGAGGCGCTTGTGTCGGTGTTTTCCAGCGTGCAGTAGCGGGGAAAGCGACACGAGTGGAACTTGAGGAAGTGCTCAGCATCCTCAAAGCCAACAACAACCCGCAGGTCGAGTACATCGTGCGCATCATGAAGAAATGGGGCGCTGAGAATGGGATCAGCGTCTGAACAGCTAGGCAAGACCTGCTCAAGTATCAGCCGTGGAGGTCACATCAAGACCGCAATATATACGTGTGCATCAATTGCTAAGTTATTACCTTATCATATGATTACCCGGTTACTTGTGTGGCCTTGATCGCAGGCGCTGGATGGACCAGGCGATCCCCAGTGACGCTACGAGATACATCAGCAGCTTCTTTTCGCGAGGGTTCTTTACCCCGCTACGCCAGCGAAGAATGCCAACCAATACAGCCACGACACCAAGCTGTTGCAGGCGATTCAGCCACGTGTTCTTGCGGCGGTTTCGCGAAGGAGATCGAACGTTGCCTCCCTCTGTGGACACGATTTGATCCTCGATCACAGGCGTCCTAAACAACAAAAGGGACGCGTGAGTTCTCCGTTAGAGATCACGTTCTTGACAGACGTCACGTACAGGTGATTGTAGAGTGCGTGGCGGCTGGATGACTTTCGTATCACCGCATCTGATGTTGCACTTCTTGAAACTCCACTAGTGCCGTGAGACGACGACGACAGGAACGGCCTCGTGTCTCGCACAAACGACTGCATATCCGACAGCGAATAGTTTCGGTTGGACTGCTCCGTAGTGACAACAGCACGAGTTAGTTTCAACCGCAAACCAATACCCCGTGACGATGCGCCAATTACCTTAGTTGCGACCACTTTAAGCGACTTCAACAGGGCGATTACGTCGGTGTAGTCGTCGACAAAGAACTCAGCCTTGGAGGGTTTCTGACCCACCGTACATGTAAACACTTTGTCTGCACAGCAAATGCCACATAATGGTGAGAACTATCCCCGCAAAGCTCTCCATACAACACTTCGTACCTTGTGGCAGTTCTTCGTGTGCTGTCATCGTCTTGAGCTGCTCGAACATGAGCTCGTCGGCCACATCATCTCCGATACACAGCACGAAATCTGTCGGGTTCCCATCGACGCGCATCTTGTTCAGCAAGTGGCCGATCAGTTTGCCCTTGCCAACTCCTTCCGGTCGCACCTCGATGTAGTCTTTGCCTTGGATAATATTCAGCGGCCAGCCCTGCTCTCAGCGCAACCCACGTTAGTCACTTCCATCTATGAGGCTGTAGGCTATTCCGCATACCTCAAAGACGCCCTCAAGGTGTTCCTTCAGCTCTGCTGCCTGCAATGCACCGAAATCAAAGTCGGACTTGCCGTATCGGAACAGCACGGCACTTCTCCGAAGCTCCAGCGTTGAGCCGTTCGTGCGATCAACATATAGCTGGACGATCTTCTCGGCCTTGACGCGCCATTGCTGGTGTCCACCGTCTGACTGCAGAATGTCCCCGTGTCTTTCCCAGGGCCGTCCGATACGAGCATTATTGCCAAGTACCGCACGTCGGATGAAGTATCCGTGCTCAGCCACGAGACCCAAACCTGGAACTCCACCGAACTTCTGCGTAAGGAGGTCGCAGTTACAGCCACTGACGATGAACACGGTGTTACGAGGGTCTTTACACAAATGTTCAAGTGTGGACAGCGCGCTCAGAGGCACGTCAGGCCATCGCACGCCCATCAGCGTCGATACGTCTGGAGCTAGAGTTCGATAGTAGTCCAGGAAGATCGCACGGTTCGTACTCGTGCGATACGCTGGAGTAAGCTCCTGTCCCGTTAATTTCTACAGCCAATAAACACTTAATACGGTTAGTTCAACGACATTTTCCTCAGTTTCAGAAGTCGTGACGTACTCGGAACTGCGCGCTGACTTCCATCAAGCGGAAATCGAGACCAAATCCTGTGCCCATGTACACGAACGACTCTTCTTTCTTCCGTGCGTTCACAATGTCCGTCAATACGCACTTGG